GAGATAAGACATAATAATTATAAAATCAGAAAGAGGGGAAGTTACAACTAACACCATATAAATACAAAGGGTTATAAGAGAATACCATGAAAAATTATTTGCTAACAAACTGGACAACCTAGATGAAATGGATAAATTCTTAGAAATATACATTTCCAAGATTGAACTAAGAAGAAATAGGAAATTTGAACAGACCAATTACTATTAATGAAATTGAAACAGTAAAAAATAACCATACAACACCCAGGACCCAATAGCTTCACAGGTGAACTCTACCAAACATTTAAAGAAGAGTTAATACCTATTCTTTTAAAAGTATTCCAAAAACAGAAGAGGAATGAATGTTCCCAAGTTCATTCTATAAGGCCAGCATTCCCTTGATAACAAAACCAGACAGACACTACAAAAAAGAAAATTATAGGCCAATACCCTTGATGAAATGATGAAAAAAATCCTCAACAAAATAATAGCAAACCAGATTAAACAATGCATTAAAAGGATCACTCCCCTTGACCTAGTGGGATTTATTCTAGAGATATAAGGATGGTTCAAGTTATACAAATCAAGGTGATACATCACATTAATAGAGGAAGGATGAAAATCATATGATCATATTAACAGATGCAGAAAAAGCATTTGATAAAATTCACATCCATTTATGCTAAAAGCTTTACAAAGTGGGTATAGAGGAAACATATTCAACATAATAAAGGTCACAGCTAGTATCAAACTCAACAGTGAAAGCTTTCAGAAAAGCTATAAAATCCAGAATAAGACAAGGATGCCCACTCTCACCTCTTTACATACTACTAGAAGTCCTCTTGGCAAAGCAATCAGACAAGAAAAATAAAAGGCATCCAGATTGGTAAGGAAGAAGTAAAATTGTCACTATTTGCAGATGATATGACACTATATACAGAAAACCCTAAAGACTCCACCAAAACACTACAAGAATAAATTAATTCAGTAAAATTGCAGGACTCAAAATCAATATACAGAAATCTGTTGCATTTGCATTTCTATATATTAATAGTGAACTAGCAGAGAAATTAAGAAAACTAACCCATTTACAACTGCATCAGAAAGAATAAAATACCCAGGAATAAATTTAACCAAGGAGTTAAAAGACCTGTACTCTGAAAACTATAATACATTGATGAAAGAAATTGAAGATGACACAAATAAATGGAAAGATATATCATGCTCGTGAATTTGGAGAATTAATATGGGTAAAATATCCATACCACCCAAAGCAATCTACAGATTCAATACAATGCCTATCAAAATACCAATGGCATCTTTCACAGAACTAGAAAAAATAATCCTAAAATTTGTATTGGATAACAAAAGACCCCAAATAGCTGAAGAGAGAAGAACAAAGCTGGATATATCATGCTCTCTGACTTCAAATCATATTACAAAGCTATAGTAATCAAAACAGTATGGTACTGGCACAAAAATAGGCACAGAGATCAACAGAATGGATAGCCCAGAAATAAACCCACACTTATATGGTCAATTACTATAGGACAAAGGAGGCAAGAATATACAATGAGGAAAAGACAGTTTCTTTAATAAATGGTGTTAAGAAATCTGGACCACTTCTTTATGTCATACATTAAAGTAAACTTGAAATTGATTAAAGACCTAAATGTAAGACTGGAAACTATAAAACTCCTGAAAGAAAACATAGGCAGTAAACTCATGAACATCAGCCTTAGCAATTTTTTTCTAGACATGTCTCTCTAGGCATGGGAAATAAAAGCAAAAATAAACAAGTGGGACTATATCAAACTAAAAGGATTCTGTACAGCAGAGGAAACCATCAACAAAATGAAAAGACACCTTACTGAGTGGGAAAAGATATATTTGCAAAAGATATACCTGATAAAGGGTTAACATACAAAATATAAAAATAACTCATACAAGTCAATACCAAAAAAACAAATAATCCAACTAAAAAATGAGCAGGGGACCTGAATAGATATTTTTCCAAAGAAGACATACAGATGACCAACAGACACATGAAAAGATAGATGCTCAATATCATTAATCATAAGGGAAATGCAAATCAAAACCACAATGAGATATCACCTCATGTCAATCAGAATGGCTGGTATCCAAAAGACAAAAATAATAAGTGTTGACAAGGATGTGGAGAAAAAAGAACCCTCTTACACTGTTGGTGGGAATGTAAAATGGTGCAGCCACTATGGAAAACAGTTTGGAGGTTGTTCAAGAGAATTGAAAATAGAAACACCATACAACCCAGTAATTCCATTTCTGGATAGGCAGTATTGCCGTGCCCACTTAATAGAAGAGAAACCAAGGGAGAGCAGCTAAGCAACTTTTCTCAGTCCACACAAGTAGGAAGTAGTCACGTTGAAATTCATTTCTAGACAGGAGGCTGGTACCAGTGCTAAACCATTAGGCACGAGTCAGTGTTAGGAGAATGTAGGGAAACACTTTTTATGCTGCTGCTAGTAGAATAAATTGGTAATGCCTCTTTGAAAAACAATTTCATCTAAATAGCAATGATCTTAAAACAATTTGTAGTCTTTGATCCAGTAACTTCCAGGATTCAATTCTAAGGATATTAGAGATAAAAATAAAGAGTCATACTAAGAATATTTATTATGGAGTTATTTATAAAACTGAAAAATAAGAGGCAAACCTAAGTATTCAATTGCAGGGTAGTATTTATATAAATGATAGCACATCCATAAAATAAATATACATTTAAAAAATATATTTAATGACATGGGAAAATGCAATTCTATCTAATTGCTTAATTTTTAAAAAGCAAGATATAAAATAACATATATATAATATTATAGTAAAGTCTAAGCAATCTAAATATAGAGCCAGAAAGACTTGAAGAAACATATCAAGATATTCACAGTGATTATCTCAGAGATAGAATTTATAGGGGAACCTGGTTTCCTCTTTATATTTTCTGCACCTTCTAAATTTTCCACAAAGAAATCTCTAATTTTTCTTATAATTGCAGAAAAGTCAATGAACTTTAGATTATGCTTTAACACAATTATTTGGAACATTATTTTGAGTGACTTTTACTCCTTTCAGAGGATAAACCTGGACACTGGTCAGAGATACCCACTCTTATCTACTCAAACCTCAGAGCAGCGGTAGTGGCCCTTGATCACTTCTGTCAAAGGCAGAGCTGCAGAAGGAAAGGGGTTAAAATTCTATCCTCATGGAAACAAAAGAGAGAGGTCTGGGAAACACTCAGACTGCCCTAGATGTGAGCAAAAGATATCTACAAACTTAGAGCCCTATTGGGAGAAAACAAAATAGTACATCAGCTTTCCTTCTTAAAATAATTTCATTTGATAGGCACAGCCCAGGAGCTGAATAAGATGTGTTCATACTCTCAGTTTTATTTTTATAGCGTGCTACAGTGGAACTGAAGCCAGAAGACGTGAACTCAACTCTTAATTTATCAGCTGTATGACTTTGGGCCAATCATTAGTTAATCTCTCTGAAATGTAATATTGTAACTTCTCAAATAGAAATAATAAAACTACATAGCCAATCAACTCATATGCATTTAATGTGTAGGAGTCATTTGAAAATGAAAATACTCCAGATAAATGAAGATTATTATTATAATTAGACCTTTCTCCCTGTTTGGAAGGACTTTCATTGTAGAATAGAGTTCCTCTTATCAAAGGAAGGACAGAAGCTGCAGAGAAGTACAAGAGGTGGCTTTCCCTACTTAGGGTACAATCTTCTGAAGTCTCAACTGTCCCCCTCCCAACTCCCTAGGACCTCAGGAATGGGAGAAGATTTCAGCTCCAGTTCTGAGCTATAGCTTGGTCACCTCTGCCCTGTTTCAAAAGGGCTTGCTTCATGTGACTTGAATAAGCTTTTAATGTGAGCAAACACTGCATTTGAACCTCATAGAGCTATCATTTGTGGTTAGTCATGTGTTTGCCTCATTGAGGTGAATAACAGTTTGTAAATATCCAAAGTCTCACCCCCAAAATGTTATGTTTCTTTAGTTAATAAGTATAAAAAGAAACGCAAATAATTACATGTGGCTACGTATATTTTTTAACCACATGCTTTTGCCTCATCAAGCCTGAGTTGGGCACTTATAAGTAGCTCTGGCCTACAATGAGGCAAGAATTCATAAAGCATTCTCCAGAGTTCTTCTAGCAAATCTAGCAGGCCTCTGAAAGTTAATCCACAAATTGGAGAACATAACCTAACAAATAAAGGGATATAAATCTAAGATTTTTAAAAAGCCAAGTTCGCAACATGGTTCTGTATAACCTGTGGCAAGTCTGTCAACCTCAGTTTCTCCAACTATGAAATGGGGGCTAGCTGACCCTTAAAGTAATTTCCAGCTGAATAGTCTATGATCATAATGGTCAAAGTCCATTTAATTCTTGGCCTGAGTTCCCATACTGCATCTCTTTGCCTAGAACTTCAGTTTCTCCACTTGTCCCTGAATACCTCTGGGGAGAGGTACCGTCTTCGAGGATCAAGGGGTCCCTGTCCTCATTGCCTTTCCTCCACACAGATGAAGGAGTCTGCAGGGTCAGAAGCTCCCCCACCCTCCCTGTATCAGTTAGCTTGAGCTTTCATAACAAAATACCACAGAATGGGGTCAGGGAGAGGTAGTTTAAACAACAGAAATTTATGTTCTCAGTGTACTGGGGGCTAGAAGTCTGAAATCAGTGTGCCAGCATTGACGGCTTCTGATAAGAACTGTTTCTGGCTTGTAGATGGTCACCTTCTCTCAAGTCTTCACATGCTATTTCCTTAGTGAAGAGAGGGGGAGCGAGAGTACAAGCTCTCTGTGTCTCTCCTCTAATCCTATAGGATTAAGGCCTTACCCTATGACTTATTTAATCTTACCTACTTCCTTTGAATTCCTATCTCTAATACAGCCATACTGGGATTTAGGACTTCAATACGTCAATTAAAGATGGGGGCATACAAACATTCAATCCATAATACTTCCTCTGCAGGATGAGTTCCCAGTACCCAAGACTTTGGAATTTTCTGCCCAAAGAGTTCAGGCCAACTGACAGAACATCTGCGCGAGACTTTCCTGGAAGTTGCCAGCTGGCACACTGCCACCATTGGGATGTGTATAGGGGAGAGCTTTGGGGATGGACCTTGGACAATGAGCTGGCTACAGGAAGAAGCTGGGCAAATGAAGAGGTTGGGGGCCAGGGCCTGGACACTAGCTCTCTCTACCTCCAACTTCTGGCATAGAACTCTGAAAATTCTACATGCAAACCTGAACTTCCAGGTTGCTATGAAGGTATGTTTGTCAAGATAGGAGGGTTGAAAAATTTTTATTTAACAGTTTTTTAGCTGAATGTATAGCTTTTAAGTATTTAAAATATGGTAGGTGGGCCTTCATTTATGTGTTTTGTTGGTGCCCCACAAATGTGAAGAGCAAAACTGATGGCAGGTTATCCCAGTTCCCTCTGGACTTTAGTTCTATCTCTGATGAATTAGCCAGTGTTAATCAGGTAATGAAGAATAGGAGAGTAATAGTCTGATATCACGTTCTTGGCCCATCACTACTATATCTTGACAGGAATTCTATGTCATGGTTCCTATATCATAGTATTAACTAATATTTCATCCAGGCTTGCTATATGCCAATTACTGTTCTAAGCATTTTATATGTATTAACTCATATGATCCTTCCAACAACTTGTGAGATAATATTATTATCTTCATTTTATAAATGAGGAAATATAAGCACAGAGAGGTTAGGAAACTTGTCCATAGTCATCCAGCTAACAAGTGGCAGTGCCAGGATTTAAACCATACATTTTGACGATTCTACTATAGCCTCCTCACATAAGAGCTAATATTTATTGAGCACTCCCTATATACCAAACTCTACCCTCTTGCTAATACCATGAGGTCAATACTGTTATTTCCCCATTTTACAGGTGAGGAAACAATTCTTTAGGAAGGTGAAGAACTCCATTCAAACGTATATCTCTAACAAGCCAGGTGCATCAATTTGAATACAGGTAATGTGACAATGTGATCGCCAGCACATACTCTTAGCCAGATCAAGTCTGCTTTCTTGGAAGGAGAACACATAGGTGGCAAGGAGAGCCTGGACATATCATTAGGTCAAATGGTGACAGTTACCACAGAGGAAATTCAACTATGCTCAATGAAGAAATAGGCCCTTTTGAGTAATATGGCAATTTGAGGAAGTTAAATGATTAAGATCACAGGTCATGTTTCACACTGGCAAATATACTTGCATTTTTAGTTCCTGTGGCTTGATATGAAATCTCAGAGTGAGTCGTTACCATTACATTCTGACTTTAGGCAGATTTATTCCTCAGGAGCTTATGGGCTACCTGAACAGGTGAGCTCTGAAGCCACCTAACCCTTGGGTGTCTGGCATCCTAATAGACTCATCCATCCATGCGGAAAAAGTTCTAGTCTGCAGGAAAATCTGTCAACTAAGAAGTTGCTTTAAGGACACAGCTCAAATCCTCATCAGTAGGATTGAAAGCTGGAAATATGATATGAAGAATGTCTGAAAACAAGTCATCCCACCTCCAAAGATTCATATCTAAAGGTTCTCTAAGAGCCAGAGGAGTCACTGAGGACAAAATGGATAAGGAAACGTCACATGTCAGCCCCAGCTCTGATGACCGCGGCAGTTGGCGTGACATCACCAGTCATTGTTATAGTTGAGGGCCTAATGGATTCCCACGGAGATGTTTTGGCTCAGGGTGGCTTGAGTGTTTTCCAGGCCTTTTGTCTGCTACAGGGCTTTGTTTGCCAATCTTCACTGCCTTTGAAAACATTGTTTGATTATGGGACAAGCCTGCCTAGAGCAGGTTAAAATGTAAACTCAGAGTCAAGGCAAAAACAGCGTTTAGCTCAAGGAGAGAGAATGGCTGCCCATGCCCTTGTGACTTCCCCGGGAAGGAGCCTATAACTCAAAACAAAAAACATACAACCTCTGCCTTTAGCCCCAGAGTCCTCCTTAGTTAATATCTGACATTTCTATTGCCACACTTTAATTTGTTTAGCTGAACAAAGCCTGTCTATGCTTGTGTTTATAACCAGAATGTTCTCTATCAGAAAGGACAGGCCTCTGACTCAACTATATTCAAATGACGAGTTCAGAATACTTTAGTCATCTGCCCCAGCTCTGATGACCTCAGCGGGGTGGCATGACATCACCAGTGCCATATGCCAGGGCCTAGTGGATTCTCAGAGATGTTTTGTCAACTAAGAGGCTTCTCCTGTGGTTTCAGTTAACCTAGGGTAGGTTAGCACAGTGGATCTTAAATTTTACTATGCATCAGAATTACCTGGAGGCTTTTTTAAAACACAGATTACTGGGCCACATCCTGAGAGTTTCTGATTTAGTAGGTCAAGAGTTCGGACCCAGAATTTGCATTTCTATTAAGTTCCCAGGAGACACTGATATTGCTGGTGTGTGAAACATACTTTGAACATCACTAGATTGATGGTTCTCAGGCTTTTTTCTACACATGCACACACACACACACGTTGGGGGTTAGTATGCTAGGGATAGGGCATTCTATCAGTAATAGGAGACCACAAGCAGAGTGATCCTGGCTGCACATTTAAAAGCACCTAGATCTTTAAAACATATATATATATATATATATATATATA